GGGCCTCACAGGTACCAACATCCTCTGTTGAGAACAATGTAAGGCACTGTGGACCATGGCACCAGTTGGGAAGAGAACAGAGAATCATAGAATGGTTTGAGTTGGAAAGGATCTTAGAGATCATCCAGTTCTACCCCTGCCTCCACCATTGGGCAGGGACACTTTCCACCAGACCAGGCTGCTCCAAGCCCCATCCAACCTGGCCTTGAACATTTCCAGGGATGGGGCAGCCACAGCTTTTCTGGGCTGATCCCTGTGAGTGGCCAACTTAGCCTTTCCCAGAACCCCCCAATTTAATGAACTTTCATAGTACTGCTCTTAGGGAGGGCAGGAACTTGTGCATGGAGTGCAGCAGCCTAACACAGATCCCCCAATTTAATGAACTTAGGGAGGGCAGGAACTTGTGCATGGAGTGCAGCAGCCTAACACAGAGAGCTGGGATCTGGCCTGCAAAGGGGTGCACGTTTTTGGGTGACGGAGAGCAAAGAGGAATGCAGCAGGTAGGAGCCAGCATGTACAGGCAGGAGCGCAGGTGGGTGTTTCTCCAGCACACACGTCGTGTTCAGCAGTCCCCCAGCTCTTCTGCTTGAGAAGAGAGGCAGCAATTAGGCTGATTGAAGGCCCAGTTGCTTCTTGCACAAGGAGGAGGCAGTGCCCCTTGCAGCTGCGATTCAAAGCCTACAGGAGATAAGGATCTGCCATGCCAAGCACTTGGGAAGTGCTGGGGGAATACAAGGACAGCCCTGGCCACGCCACCCTGCTTCACCTCTATCCTCTTCCCAGCTGGCATCTGGCTTAAAAGCCTTCCTGAGCCTAGAGCAGCACACAGGGAGTTTCCTCTCCACTCTTCCATGCAACCCCCATGTAATTACTTGGGAGCTCACACAACTTTGTGTTGGCTTTGTTTGCTTACCAGCCTGTTTGTGCAAGCTCCAACTCCTCAGCCTCCATGGAGACGCTGTCTTTGCCTTCCTTGGTCGTGGGGAGCAGAGTTAAAAACCCAGTTGATTTCATGCGATCAGGTGAGGTGCATGTAGTGTGCCCTCTGGGTGTATTTCAGGGTGTCCAATCAAGGTTAGGCCATGCTCTACTGGATATAAAATCACAGAATGGTTTGGGTTGCAAGGGGCCTTCAAGATCATAGAGTTCCAAATGCCCCACCATGGGTAGGGAAACTTTCCCCTAGATCAGGCTGTTCCAAGTCCCATCCAAGCTGGCCTTGAACACTTCCAGGGATGGGGCAGCCGCAACTTCTCTGGGCAACCTGTGCCAGGGCCTCACCACCCTCCCAGGCAAGAATTTCTTCTTCATACCTAATCTAAACCCACCCTCTGTCAGTTTGAAGCCATTCCCTGTTAGGTGTCACCCTGTCACCCCAAGCCCTTGCAAATTCTCCCTCCAGTTCTCTTGTAGGTCTGGAAGGTGCTCTAAGGCCTTCCTGAAGCCCTCTCTTCTCCAGCTGGAACAAACTCCCCCATCCACTTCCACCCTTGGCCAGAGTTCAGCTCTGCCTTTGCCTCCCACATCCTGATAATTCCCATTAGCAGCACCAGGCACACAGGGATGTACAAAACAGTGAACGCTTTTTATTTCGCTGCTGGAGTGTAACCACTGTAATTTCATAAAACTCAAAAAAACAAACAAAAAAAAAGTGATTACTGAAGGCATACATTTTTTTTTCCTTTTTACACAAGACGTTAAGTAAACAGACATGTTTCTTTTTAAAAAGGTTATAAAGTGTCAAGATCCTATACCTCATCTGCATATTCAAAGTGATGCCATCTGATACAAAAAGCATTGGGTACAATAATTTAGCTATGGCTCAGACAAAAAAAAAAAAAAAAAAACAAAAACAAAAACCCCCAAAAAAACACAAAACCAAAAGAAAACCAAAACCAAAAAAAAACCAAAAAAAAAAAAAAAGTCATCTGGGCTTAATCTACACACTACTATGGTTGCCCAGGGGGTTAAAAAGGAAAATATGCAGCTCTTTGTTGCACAGAAAGGAACAGCAGGGAAGTGGAGAGTTCATTGGGAGATCATAGTCTGAAGGGAAGCAGCGGAACGCCCCCTCCCCGGGAATGTCTGCAAGAGCCCAGCCCAGGACTCCCCCTCTGTGCCAAGAAACCAGCCACATTTGTCTCCCACCAGACAGAATCCCATCCAAACCCACCCGCCAAGCTGCACCTACCCAGCGTGCTGGCAGCAAATAAGATACAAGACCTTGGAAACTGCATGGAAGTCACGAATCTGCCTGTGTGCTTTCCCACTGGGACTAATAAAAACCAAACAAACCCAAGGAAAAAAATAAAAAAGGAAACGACTCGTTCTATTGTGGGTAGAGCCAGACTCTGCTTTCTCGGGAAATCTGTTCCACATAAACCTCTGAAGCTCCCAGCCCAAGCACCACAGTGTCAGCCTTACTGCAAGACTCGTAATATGAATTTACAAATGCGAAGTCTTTACATGTGTGTCACCAGAACCTTCCTGAAATAAAGAGCTGGACATTTGTGATGGCCACATTTCCTGCCTTCCCACCATCCCACCCCCTCCACGTGCTCCATCTGACTGGAAAACAAACAACAGAAGGGATATTTGAGGGCATATGTGTGCTGTGTGTCCCTGGTGAGAGGACACAGCTACAAGTTGCCGCTCAGATTTATGCTCTCACACGAGGCTCAGACATGACTGACTCCTGGGTAAAGGCTACAGGCTCTTGGTTTGATGGTTGGGGCACCTCTGCTTTGCCATCCCTTGGGTCTCCTAAGTTCTTGCACCAGTTTGGAGCCTTGTCCCTGCAAATTGTGGTGGCTTTCCATAGAGGGTGAGGGGGTGGATAGGGGTGAGAAATTATTAAAACCCAGTCTGAGCCTTTGCTTCTGGAGAAAAGTGCAGGGTGAGGTGGCTGGTTTGTAGCCAAAGCCATGGGGTGTCTGTTCCCTGTGACATCTGCCAGGACTCGACGGAAACAACCGGAGCAGTGACATCATTGGCAAATACATCAGATTTTTAAGGGTCTCCTTTCAGCATCTTGGCTTTTGAGGTGAAATGAGGATTAGCGTACAAGGAGAGAACCCAAGACCATGAGCCCTTGGCTGCTTAGGCCTCGCTCTGGTGTTGTCTACTGAGTTTCAACCTTCCCCCTTGCCTAACTGTCAAGACTTTTAAGGTCTTTGAGATTTCTAACCCAAATCCCACTTGGAAGACCCCTCAATTTCCCCAGCCTGTTGCTTCTGTAACCTTCTCTAGGCTGAAACATCAAGGAGCTGGTACCTCAGAGAAAGGAGCCCAAGTCCATATAAAAAAAATCCCAAATATTTGGCAGTCCAACCCAGAGAAACTTTTGAATTCAGCCCTTCATGCAAAACAGCATCTCCTGGGCTGCCAATGTATCCTTTCCATGGAAGCAGCACATTTGAGGGTTAGGCGGGAGATATCCATGAAAAAAAAAAAAAACAAAGGAAAAAAAAAGAGAAAAATAACGAAAATAAAAAAAACAGTATTTTTTTTTTTTTTGATTTTTTTTTCAGTAACTCATAAACTGAGGAGGATCAAGATGCCACTGTGCCAGCCAGATGCCCTCAGGATTTGGCCACATGGCCAGATCAAGGACTGCTTTTACACCAGGAGCTCCCTAATTTTAAGGTGATTGGGTTAATGCTACATAAAGCAAAGCCTGTCCCCCTCATGTTCCCCAGGCCAGCCCCCCAAGCTGAGGTCTAAGTGAAGTCTTGCTCAAGAGTGGCTCAAGGAAGCTGAATTCAAATCCCTGTCCCCAGCCTGAGTCCAGCTCAAAGGCATTGTGGCTGAATCCCAGGACCTCTTGCCCTGGGCAACATTCCAGGTGATGCTGCCATGAGCATGGGTGAGGAAAACTCATCCTGCCAGGACAGAAACATCTCCAGGCCCATAAAGCAACAGTTCCCACAAGAAAGGGCATGGGACTGGGAGGTTTCCTGGCTAGCAGGGACTGAGGCTGTCACCACCACAATGCCAAGCCACCTCCTATGTCCCTGGGGAAGAAGCAGCACCTATTTTAGCAGCAGGAGGACAGACCCAAGCAGGAAGGGGATGGTGATCCAACCAGCAAGGTGCTCTAATATAGGGTCAGGCCTTTTTATCAGCCCAATCCACACTCTTCCAGATCAACATAGACCCTCTGACCGTTGCTGCCTTCTCCACGAGTCATGGGAACCAACAGCCTGGGATAGAGCAGGAGAAACTCAAGGGATTGAAGGCTGTCCCACAATGTTGGACAGGCCCAAAGTGTGTGGTATGACAATTCCAGGGCCACATGTGGAGGGTCCCCACCTCACTCAGCACCAGAGCTTATCCCAAAGGATGGCCTTCCCTGCCCTGCAGTGGGGTTGGCCCCTATCAGGACAGGTGAAGTGGTGCTGGAAACAGCTCCAAACACCTCTGCTGCTCACCCATGTGGTGGTTCAAAGCAGGCCCCAGCCTTCTGCAGGTACTGAAGGTGTCTAACCAGCCTTCCTCACCACCTGTCCCAAGAGATGAACGCCCTGAAGCGAATGTCTCTGAATGTTTTGGAAGGCACACAAACCTTTAGAGAGTCCCATCTAAGGGTCAACAGGACAATGAGGGCATCTCAAGCTGCTCAGCCCAAAACCTCAAGAGGTGGATGATCAGCCCTCCTTGTCCCAACAAGTGTGATCCTCTGCAGCTGAGGTGTGAGCAGCAGTGAGCCCAAAGGACCCCTGGAGCATCCCCTGGGCCACATGTATATTCTGGTGATAGTGGATGGCAGCCAGCTGTGACACAGTGCTGGGGATCAGTCTGGGGGACCATGGGTCACCTCCTGGGCTCTACTGGGCAGTGACAAGAGAAAGAAAGGCCAGAGGATGTGTGGAAGACAAACAGGGTATTTTTTTTAAGTTTTTTTTTTTTCCTTTAATTAGCAAATTTCTTGTTATCCTCATTAAAAGAAAAAAAACACCCCCACACCCCCTACATGGCCACTGCTCCAGCTGCTGCAAGCATTCAAAGGCAGAAAGTTGAGAGATGTTTAATGTCCCAGCTCAGGGGCAGCTCTGAGCCCAGCCCACCTGGGTGTGTGCTGGGGGTGCCAGGCGCCTCGGTACAGACATGGAAAAGGCAGGTGCAAAATCAGGTGATGTGCTCTTGCCAGGAACACCCAAAATCCCCTAGGAGAGCTGCAGCCCAGCCCCTTGGCCAGCAAATGCAGTGGAGGACATGGATGTGCCTTGAGAGGCACAGTGTGTCCCCAGGGCACTGCAGCCAGAACTGGGGTTTGTGCCACAGCTCACGGATGGGGACAGGACAGCACCCACCACCCTGGGCACTGAATTTGGAAGCTATAAATAAGAGCACCCCACACTTTGGGGGACCCAGTGCTGATCCAGCACCCCAGCAAAGCTGAGTGCCTCAAAGCCCTGCTGTGGTCCCCGAGGTTCCCAACAGCTCTGCTTTCACTGGAGCTGGAAATGCATCTGCAGCATCCTGGCTGGCACTGAGGCAACAGGGAGGTGGTGAGCTGACAGAGGGGCCAGGAGAAAGGGAACAGTGCTGGGGGTCTTAGCTCAGCCCTTCCCCTGGTCACATGGTCACTGAGCTCAGAGCCCTGTCACCTCTCCCTGCTATCACCACCTTCCCCCCTGAGGCCACTGTGCCATCCCCACCTCCATCCCTGCTGCTGCAGCCCTTAATTTATGGGGAAGAGGTGGGGAAAGGTTTTTCTGGGGGTGCTCTGGCACTTCTGCATCCCATCCTTTCTCTGCTGGCAGACCCCTGCCTGCATCACCCCAAACCAAGCACCCTTTGCCCACCCCTCTCAGTGCAATGGGAGGGGAAAGGGGGGAGGAGGATGGTGATGAGGAACAGTCACACGAGCTCATTGCCTGCTGACACCAAGAGTCTAAGGGCAGTGCTGCCTTCCCTCCTTGGGGCTGCAGCTGGAGAGAGCAGCCTTTTTTGGGGATCCAGCAAGACGAGTGTGCTGTGAGTGCTGGAACACACTGGAGATGCTCCATGTCCCCAGCCCAACCCTAGCAGAGGGGCAGCACATGGGAAATGCAGGGCTGGGCCAGGAGGTGAGGGGGTGGGATGTGTGCGAGTGCCTGGGGGTCTGTGCACGGATTTTGGCAAGAGGTCATTGAGGTTACATGATGCAGCATTTGTTCTTGTGGTTATGAGGGTCCTTAAATCGGAGTCTCTGCTTTGGTCGGTATTTTTCCAAGTACGTCAGCTGCTTGCTGTTGATGGCTCCTCTGCGCTTCCTGCAGGGACAGAGAAATGCCAGAACAGTCAGAGGTGTGGCATGAGATCCCCCCCACCCCAAACCACTCTTGTTGGGGGGCTGAGCCCCCCTGCCTGGAGCAGGAAGGCATTCTGTATGCTGAAGCCAGGGGCACCCTCTAGGGAATGGAGACAGGCACTGACCCCAGCAGCTTTCCTTGCTCATCCACCCTTTGAGTCCCAGGACATGGAGGGCTGGGGAGGAAACGTGGGGCAGAGGAGGGGTGACTGCCAAAAGCCCCTCAGGGATGCTCCATGCCAATGCCTTGTTTTCCCACTCCCAAAGAGAAAAGCAACCCTAGTGTCACCAAAAAAACCAAACCCTGGGACATGCCAGGTGTCTCCATTCCCTCAGGGAGGGACTTTCTGCCCTAACACCATAACACTGCTCCACTTACTGTCGGATGAACTGGATGGCATCTTCATACTTCATCCCACTCTCGATCAAGGCCAGCGCGACAAGGACGGGAGCGCTGAAAGGCAGAAGCAGTGGCTGTCACTCCCCAGTCATACAGCCCAGAGGTTGATATCCATCATTTAAAGTTCAAGAAGAAGCTCAGGTAGCAGATCTCCCCCATCAACACCTACTCTCCCACAAAGGTTTCACAAAACCCTGCTCAAAGAGGGACTGGGAAAAGGAAGGAGGAGTATTGGCATGGTTGTCCCTCTCCTGCCTTCATGGGGAGGTGGCAGCTGGGACAAAACCCTGCTCAGAGGGGGGCTGGGGAAGGGAAAGAGGAGAGCTGGCATGGTTTTCCCTCTCCTGCATTCATGAGAGGTGGCAGCTGAGGTGCTGGGCTTGGACTCACCGCCCCAGGCCGGCCACGCAGTGCACGGCCACGCAGCAACCGGGGTCCTCGCAGAACTTGGTCTTCAACAAGTTGAGCCAATCTTCCACAATCTTGCTGGGAGGAGGTGCTCCATCATCAAATGGCCAATCCTGCAAGGTTGGGAAGAGAGAAATGCTGTCAAGTCTCTGGGGAAAACCTTTCAGGGGTTGTTTTTCACTCGGGTTGATGGTGTTTGGGGTCTCAGCTGCAGGGAGGTAGAAGAGTGCCAGAACTGGGCTCACAGCATAGCTCTGTGGGGATACAGGTGGTTTTGTGGCATCATCTGGCATACAGGAATTCCCTGGCTGTTTGACTCAGGGTTTGAAGTCATACAAATCTAGGTCTGGAGTCCTCTGGCCTCCTACGGACAGGTTCAGCCTACAGGAGCAGCTGTAGGATCTACAACATGGTCCCCAGGACCTCCTGCTTCTGCAGACCAGGATGGCCACCCCATGCTGCGTCCCCATCCAGATGACCTCACTGAGCTTTGGGGTGATGCAGTTCCCAACCTCCCCTCTGCCAGCTCCTAATTGCAGCACTTGGGAGCACACTGTAGGGGATTTGAGCAAAGGTGGCTTGAAGATGGTTGAAATCCCAGAGGTTGATGTGGTGCTGAAATTCAGCTTCCTGCAACACATGGAGAGGAACACCAAAAGAATGGTCTGAGGACCCACTAACACAGCCCTAGAGAGAGAGTCAAAGGGAGTGAGATCACTCCAAATGGGGCAATTTAAATACCATCCTTCAGGAAAGGCTATTAAGGGACAAAGAAAAATATCCCATCTTCTGAGCTTCATCCTCAAGTTGCAGGGGTTCAAAATTGGAGCATGGTGAGGAAATTGGTCAAATGGATTCTGCATTTGATACCCTTCAGCCCTGGGCTCCGTTACGAGGGGTAAGTGTCCCAAAACGGGGATTTCTTTCCTAAAACAGATTTGTCAGGGGGACCATGGCCACTGGCCATGCAGCACTGAAGAGAGAAACAGGAAGGGCAGCATCACTTGGAGAGGATGTGACTTGGTGAGCCCTGAAGGGTGGGGGGCACTGGGCTCTAATCCTAGATTTTGAGGAGTGAGTCACTAAGCTGCTGTGCTGGAGTCACCCTTGGTGTGAGATGGCAAAATAAGCTGCTTCACTTCAGTGTTTGAACAGGTGGTGTGGTTTCTGTTGGGATTTGATAGCAAAGGAGCACACTGGGCTTCAGGGTATTTGTAGTGTTTAAGCCAGACTCCCTGGCTGGCCTGTGCCTGTCCTGCAAGGCCATCTCCTCCCTACAGCCATGAGTGCAGGCCAGGGGCTCACACCAGGGATGACACAGCACCCTACAGAATCATCCCGTGATGGAATGGCTTGGGATGGAAGGCACCTTCAAATATCATCTAGTCCAATCCTCTGCCATGGCAGGGACACCTTCCATTATCCCAGGTTGCTGTAACCTGGCCATGAACACTTCCAGAGATGGGGCAGCCTCAATTTCTCTGGATAACCTGTGCCAGTGTCTCACCACTCTCATCATAAAAACCTTTTTCCTTATGTCTCATCCAAATCTGCCCTCTGTCAGTTTAAAGACATTCCCCTTGGTCCATCACTACATGCCTGTGTAAATAGTGCAGCTCTCCTGCAGCCCCATTAGGGACTGGAAGGGGCTTTAAGGTCCCCCCAGAGCCTTCACTTCTCCATATATAGACCTATATATGATCTATATATAGAAGCACAGAATTGTTTAGGTTGGAAAAGCCCTCTAAGATCATCAAGTCCACCTGTTAACCCAGCACCGGCAAGGCCACCACTAAACCATGCCTCCAAGTGCCACATCCACAGCTCTTTTAAGCCCCTCCAGAGATGGTGACTCCACCACTTTCCTGGGCAGGTTGTTTCAATGGTTGACAACTCTTTCAGTGAAGAAATTTTTCCTAATATCCAATCTAAAACTCCCCTGGAGCAACTGAAGGTCATTCCCTCCTGTCCTGTTGCTTGTTACCTGTGAGAAGAGACCAACCCCCACCTGGCTACAATCTCCTTTCAGGGAGTTGTAGAGAGGAAAAGATCTTCCCCAAGCCTTCTTTTCTCAAGGCTAAACACCTCCAGCTGCTCCTCAAGAGACTTGTGTACCAAGATATATTTATATGCCAGATATAGCTATAAGGATACAGATAAAAATATACTAAACTGTGTATATCAAATAAAAATATATACCATGATATCTCAAAAATATATAGAGATTTGATATAATTATAGACATATTTCTGTATCTGCAGAGATACATTTATCTATACAAAACCAAGTTATAGATATCTCTTGATTTACCTTATATAGTTTCTGTATGGTTATAGAAATGACAGAGGAGCTACTTAAGTTTCTATACAGTGTCTTGTATAGTTTCTCTAACTCTCTATATAAAACATATCCTAGATATGTATCTCTCCACATAAGAGAGATACAAGAGATGTAAAGAGGTATGTATATCCTAGATATAGAATCTCACACTGGAGGCTCCAGTTAGAAATGGGGTAAAATGCAGAATTTGGTGTGTAAGTGAGTAGATATGATCTCAAACATACAGACTCTATATATGCAGGATACAGTGATCTTTCCAAGATATATCCAGTAGAGACACAGATTGCATCTATATCTAGAGACATCTGCATCTGGAGGATCTGTACCTGGAGAGCCACAGGATTATCCACCCATATCCCTGAGGATCTAAGATAGAGCCTCCTCTCTCTCTAGGATACACATTATACAGACAGAGCTACATAAAGAGGTCCTACACACAGAGGACCACCCCAGGAGACACAAGGCATTTCCAAACCCTTCCCTAAATAATGAGCAGAGCCTCACTTCCCAGCTGGAGCAGAACTCCCTGGCAGGGTATCATGCCTGACATCATCTCCAATTACCTATCAGCCAAGATACAGCCCAGGCAGCTGCATGCTCTGCCTTTCCCAGCTTGCTGCCTGCTCCCTTTCATCCCCCTCAGCTGCACCAGCCAGCTGCTGGAACAGCAAAAAACCCTCACACCACCCCCCAGGATAAGATAACGCCGGGGGTAATGGGAACCACGCGCATCTTCCCCGTGGGATCAGGCGCTCTCATCCCTGGATGCTTCAGAGCCTGAGCAACAGGCAGGGAAGGCAGCTGCCGACTCAGCCGGGTGAGTCACAGTTTCGGCTGCGTGGGCAGCACGTCTCTTTTTAAAGCACCAGCCTCAGCTCAGCTCAGCTGGGCTTCCAGCTCTGCTCCTGCCTCAGGGTGATGCTGTGCTGGGCTACCGGGGTGTTTAACAGCCCCAAGGGATGAGATTTTTAAGGGTGGTGTAGGGCACCCCCGGTGCCCATCCTGCTGCCCACCTACCATGACAGTGATGCCGTCCTTCTCCAGGGGGGTCTTGTCATAGGTCACTTCACACACTCGCACGACCGTGGTGGCACCGTACTTCTTCAGGTCCTGGGGAGGGAAGGAGAAGGAGGGGTCTGAACAGATCCTGCCTCATGCACCCCAGTTAACCCTGACACATCCAAGCCCTGCTATGACCATGTGGAGCAGTATGGACCCTTCAACAGTGCTGTGCCCCTTCTCTGAACGCTTGACCCATGATCCTTGCAGCCTGGCAGGCAAAAGGAAACAAGAAATCCCAGGACACCAAAGCCACGTGGCCTTGTAGGATTTTTAACCAGCATCTTCATGACTCCTCAGAGTCATGAGTACCAATGGGGCCATTTATTTTTAAGCCCTGACAGCCTCATCAGCAGGGATTTTATACCTCAGGCAAAGAAACTTCCCTGACATGGGTGCCAGTCCTCTGAAGGAGAAATTGTTTGTGCCTGCTGAGGTCACACTCCTGATGCAGAAATGCATGGAGGCAGCTGTGGGGGAGTCGTAGCATGCCCTACCAGCCGAGCTCAGCATCTCACAGATGGCTCAGGGGCTCCTTCTCCACCTCACTGCCATATCCCATCATCACTCCAACACGCTGCAGGCTCAGGCGTGGGACTTGGGAGGCTTCCAGCATGGCTCACTGCCCGGTGTGAGGATTGCCCCCGGATTACGTGCCCGGTGCGCCAGCCTCGCCGGGAACCATGAGATCATCCCCAATGATCCACCTCCTTTGTTCCCCATGTGTGCTCACCAGACCGTGGTGAGCCCCACATGGCTCAGCAGCCCAGCCAAAAGTTTAAGGGACCGGAGGAAAGGGGAATTTTTCTCCCTTCCCACTGGTGGGGTACCCATCACCCTCTGCAGCGAGCATGGGGTGGCTGTCCCAATATCACAGCCACCTTCCTGTCACCCTGAGACAGTGGCACTCACACAGCTGCTACCAGTGCTGGCTCTTCAACACCAAGCTCTCCAGCACCACTCAATACACCCTAGGCACTGGAAATATGCTGGGATATTTGGGATCAAAAACCATTATTGAGGTGCTGCGAGGGACAGGGAAGGTTTTGTGCACCCCTGTGCATTGCTCCAAAACCCTGTGAAATGATGTGCTAATGGATCTGGCAGGGGATGCAACAGGAATGAGGAAACTCTGCTGCATCTCTACTGTGCCCAAACATCACACTTGGGGTCCTGAAAAACATCCCATCCCAAAAAGCTGGCAATGATTGGACCCACTGCCCCAGGATGCCACCTGGGGCTGTGGTACCAGAGGGGATGTGCTGCCCTCTCATCAACAGCAGCTTTTAGCCCCAAAAAATGCAACTGCACCCTAGTCCCCACCTTCCAATCTCTCCTCCTTACCTCCAAAAAGGTGCTGAGCGTGGCATTGGTGGGATTGTGGGTGATGAGGAACCTCATGTTTTTGTAGCAGACCTCCACGGGTGCAGGGCGGTTCATCCGGGCCATGGTGGGGACCGTGGGAAGGTGAGGTGGTGCTGACAGTGGCAAGGTTAAAAACCCAAGAAAAGAGTGGTGTGGAGGGGGGGGAAAAAAAAACCAAACCAAACAAAAACCCAATAACCCCTCTGCGCTTCAAAAATAAAAATAAAACAGGATCGAAAACTCAATATACAGACGTTGTGCAAATAATCCCAACTCCTGGGAGCGCACCGGCTTCCTTGACACACCACAAGCCTCCCAGGGGGAAAAAAAAGCCAGATGGGGGAAAAAAAAATAATATTAATGAAATAATAATAATAATAATAATTAAAAAAAAATCCCTTTGCTGTAGTGTTGGCGTCCTCTGCGTGTGTGCGACGGCGAGCGGCTGCTGCCTCCGGTGCCGCGCGCTCCCGGGCGCTCTAGAAAGGCCTCTGCATATGGGGGGTGGTGGTGGCGGGAGGGTGGCCCCCGTCACGTTACCCCATCGGGGTATGTGGAGTACTTGGGGGCGGCACGGGGGGCCGGGAGCCTACGGGGCGGCGTCGGCGGCGTCCGGCAGCGGTGCCTCGCTGGGGCGATCCATGCACGGGAGCCTTGAATGGTTGAGTCGGAGGGTCGGGGTGCTGGGCAGGACGAGGAGAGGCGGCCGGGGGCTGCTTCACAGGGCGGGCTGCCGGGGGCTGCGGGGTTCACAGCTGCTCCTCAGCACCTCCATAAATCCCAGTGCAGAGCGAGGCTGCAGGGGAGAGAAAGGGAAATGCAGTGGTGAGAGGAAGCCCTCTCCCAAGGAAGCCCCTGAAGGCACCATCACCTTCTACATCCCCTGCGAGCATCCCTGACCATTCTCAGCTTAACACAAATAAGAAAGCGAGGTGGTATTTAAAGCTAGAGCTGAAATATCATCTGGAGAGCTGGAATGGCAATTGGAAAGCCAGAGGGGATAAATCACATTTCACCTGCAGAACGGAAAGCACATGGCAGGGAAGGCCTTGCTCCCATATACCACCCAACATCTGCACCTGCTGGTGGATTTAAGCACCCAATTCACTCCAGGTGACCCCCCCTGACACCCATCCAGACGCCCCAGACCTCACCTTTGTGTCCCCAAAAAGCACGTTGAATACTTCCACCCCAAATGCACGCTGTTCCCGAAACCAGCTGCCGCTAATCGGCCACATGCTCCTGGCGCTGGGCTCATGTCCACTAAATGCACCTCTAATGCTCTTAGGAGAATTAAGCCGCCTGCAAATGAGCTATCTTGGGGAGGGGGGGCCGAGGAGGGGGTTGCGTGTGTGTGGTTTTGCCAGGGTTAGTGATGGATGTGTCTCCCTGCCTGCTCATCCACATTCCCACACTGCCAGCACATCGCTCCCAGTAACGGTGCTCGGCCCCTCCACCCGTGGCATCTTTGCTTAAAGGATGGCAGTGGGAAGAATTAAGAAAGAAAATCAACTCCCACTGTGGAAATACCCAAATCCATGATATGATGGGCCCAGCAGGGAGGCAAGGGCTCTGCCAGCCCCACCCAGAGCCGAGGGAAACCCAGCCAGAGCCTCCCCGGTTGTTCCCCACTGGACTCTTGTTTTGAAGCTGGTCCTTCCCCCAGGTCAGAGGCTGCTTAGTGCCGGGTGGCCAGAGCCTCAAAATAGACCATAAGCACATAAGTAACCCGAGCCAGACCAGCAGGCACCCCCTTGGCTCTCCTCACAGCAGCCAGAAACTTTCCCCTCTGGATTGTTTCACCCTTATGCAACAAGACAAGGTGGGAGAAGGGAGATGAGCTGAGCAGCTCATAACAGCACCTGGGTGCTGACAATGGGTTTGTCCAGGCCTGAGCATCATTTACAACATGTTTAACACCTACTGCTTCTCCACTGGTACACAGGGATGAAAAAGTTAAATGGCAACAGGAAAAAAGCCAGGTGAGGTGTCAGGGGAAGCAGAGCTGCTCTGCTGAATGTGCCCGGTTTGGCTGCTAAAATCACAGACTCTTCCCAACAACCATCTTCCATCACACCTGACTAATATTTTTTTGCCCATAAAGAAGGGGATAATGCTATCCCAGAGTCCTGCAAGGATGTTCTACGAAGTTCAAACCCTGCCTGGGCTGCAGGGGATGAGTGGGACATTCAGGGGGGATGATTCTCAGTCCCCACTGAGAAATCAGATTTTAGCAGCTGATGGAGGCTGGGAGCTTGGCTGAGGCACGGCAGTGAGGTGGGAGCTGCCTCTCCGCAGCATTTTAGGTGTGATTCAGAGCAGCTCAGCCCACAGATGATGCTGATCCTCCCCACCTGGACCACAGCAGCTGGAATTTTTGCTCAAAGCTTGCAATGATCCTGCAAGATGGGCTGGGAAACCTGCTTCCCTCACAGTGTTCATTGTGCTTTTTCAGTGATGATCCCACCGATCACTTTGTTTGTGAGGTCTGCTTCTTCCCAGACGATCTCACCATGGCTGGATAAGAATCAATTTGTTATTTCTGGAGGGTAATTCTGGGCTGGTTTTGGCTGTGTGGCTCCTACATGTCCAGCTGCCAATCTGCTGGCCAGCACAACCATGAAAAGGGATGGGAGGTGGGAGAGATGGGCAGCCACAGTTGCCTGCTCAAAGGGAAGAGCTGATGCAAAGTAGGAATTGCCCCAAACCATCAGCTTGAAAGTCCAGTTTCTCTGAAACAAGGACTTGAGGATATTTTGCTTTTACTTTTCATGCCTTTGCTCTTCAGGCTTCCAGTGTGTTTAATGCCATCTGTCCTAATGATTTGATCCGATCCCGATGATCAATCTAATTTGATGCACCAGCACCAGAGGCGCACAAGGGAAAGCATCAAAAAATGACTTTCCTCCCTTCAGACAACCTCATACCTCGTTTTAACCGGCTGCCAGGGACATTAATATGAACTGTGCCCATGTTTACCCATGTCCTGGATTAAATCCCACCTGCTGAGCAGCCCTGTGGGGCTGGGAGCTGCTGCCAGCACCAATGCCAGCACTGCCCCTGTGTCATCATCCACACAGTTCATGCTCCATTGGTGCTCTGGATCCTGCACAATTTTTTATTGGTTTGGGCATGCTCACTGCCAGTAATGGAGGCTCAGTGGGAACCGCCTGCCTACGAGAACAGCTAGTGCTCCTTTCCCACAAGGTCTCCTCTCCAGTGGAAGCGTTTCAAGTATTTTGGCAATCACACATCCCAGCAATTCAGTCCCGAAGCCCATAAATCCCTAATGGATATTCAATCACAAATCATCCCCGGCGTTTCAGGCTGCGATGCTGATCTCCATATTAAGCGTGGCAGAACAATGTGGAAAAGGGAATTTTAGCTAATATTAATAACCTGCCAAGTGGAATATAAATCCTTCTCATTTGAGCACTCTGGGGGATCTAGAGGAAGCATGTGAGGACACAGTGAACAAGCCCTAGATGAGGATGCTCAGCAATGCAGTGCTGGCCTGTCAGGCTCAAACCTGTCTTGGGGAACCTCAATGAAAGGAGGCTGTAGCCAGGTGGGGGTTGGTCTCTTCTTCCACATAACAAAGGAGAGGACAAGATGAAACAGCCTCAAGTCGTGCCAGGGGAGGTTTAGATTGGGTATAAGGAAAAATTTCTTCACTAAAAGGGTGCTCAGACATTGGAGCAGGCTGTCCAGGGAAGTGGTGGAATCAGTATCCCTGGAAGAGTTCAAGAGGCATGGATGGGGCACATGGTTTAGTGGTGAATCTGGCAGTGTTAGCAACTGATCTGAGAGATCTTTCCAACTTTAATGATTCTACGATTTTCTTTTCACCATGGCTGTGGAAATTTCTGCTTCTTACACAGGAATTTTGCAGCCAAGAGCCCACTGAGGATCCAGTATGAACACACACCAGTGTGGCAAGAGAGCAATGAAGGTTGCTGCTCTTGGGATGAGGACCACTGAGCCATCATCTCCTTGTCTTACACCCCCACAGCTGAGGGGATCACAGGGGTCTCTGAAATATTCCTTTGCAGTGTGGCCAGACCATTACAAATATCTTGGCCTCATCTGAGATATCCAGGGACTGAGCCTGCAACAGAGGAATGAGGCTGATTTTCCTCATGGCAACTTGATGGAAAATAAAGGTCAGATCTTCTTCACCCAGTGACTGGAAGAGCTTGGTTGGAGAGGCAAGCAGCTGCCTGACCTGATGGCTGTGCTGCTGGTACCCGGCTAGCGGGACACAGACGTTGGAGTCAGGTTTTCCTAAACACAGCACATCCCCAAGAGCAGGAAAAGGAAGCTTTGCAGAGCCAAAGTGTCGCTCCACATGAGCTTCAGCAGCGGGACTCGGAACAAAGGCTCTTACATACCCAAACAATGTGTATCTCACCCGTATATAAATATAGAGATCTCAGAGTGAGCACATCTCCTGTTCAAAGTTCACCTTCAGAGAAATCCAACAAAACACCCAGCTGTGTCACACTTTCTCGACCTCTCTCCCGCTTTCAGCTCATGTAGCAAGACACCGAGCAGCCCTTTCCCCTTAAGGCTGATAAAGTCCTGCCCTCCTGCTCCCAACAAGCACTTCCATCACCCTGAGAACTGAATCCAAGTTTCTGAGTATTTCAGTTATCACCATGCAGAAGTTTCTGCACACGTCCATTGCCACTGACATGAGTGACCATGGGGAGCAGGTCTGTGAGGCTCAGCTGCAGACGTAAGATCCGTACCAGCAGTACCACCACTGCCACCAGCATGAGCAGCACCACCAGCATCACCACTGCCACCAGTGTCACCACTGCCACCACCATCACTGCAACCAGAATCAGAAGCAGCACCACCACTGTCACCACTGTCACCACAACCAGCACAATGACCACTGCCATGAGCATCACCACTGCCACTAATGTCACCACTGCTGTCAGTAGGAGCACCACTGCCATCACTACCACTGCCACCAGCATGACCAGCACCACTGCCACCAACACCACCACTGCCACCAGCATCAGCAGCACCAGCAGCAGCACCACCACCATTCCAAGCATTGTCACCAGTGTCACCACTGCCACCACTCCCTAAAACACTACCATTGCTACCACTGGGTTCCACCAGCACCACCAGCATCACCACTGCCACCATTGCCATCACTGCCAGGGAGAACAGGTCCCAGGACACAGAGAGCCACAGCGCTGTCCCCAGCCTGTGACTGCAGCTGGGACACAGCCAATGTGCTGAGATTTCCTCCAGTTGCATCTGCACGGAAGGAAACAGGAAAGGTCCGGGAGGAGAGCGACGGAAACAAAACACCCAGCAGGAGCTGGAATCTGTGGGGAGAGGTGTAAGCAGCCACTGGCACATCCTGCTCCAGGGACAGAGCTGGACAGAGCAGATGGGATGTCCTGGAAAAGCCATGCTAGGTACTGTGGTGGCTGTGGGGTACCTGCTGCCAGGAGCGAAGCAGTGCCCAGCACCATCTGCCAGGGAAACATCGTGGGGCTTTTCCTCCAAGGGGTTATTTTTTAGGTTGTTTTTCTTGCTGCATGTGACGTTTTCTGAGCAAAACACAACAAGGAGGATTAAAAATGCACAGCTGTAGAGGGAGAGCAATGAGGGCTCTTGGCAGCCCATGAAAACACCTGCAGGATAAACCAGGTGATGCATCTTTCACCACGTCCTTTTTGGTGCGCAGTAAATACTGGCTAACACTAAATTTAGCCAAAGACAGTTATGCAGCCCTTGATTTTACAGCTCCAACTGGACTTAAGAAGTTTGGTA